GTCTCTACTTTTAAATGGATGATAAGGATTGGTTGATGACAAGTTAGTTAGCCCATTATGGCGAGTCGACCTGAAATTATTCATGATGATTTTGGGATTGTGAAGGAGGAAAAACGTGGGGGTTGATTTGATATGGTACATTTCTTACGATGGGTTCACTAGTTCCAACATTCCTGACAATCCCCTTTCACCTAAACAACCTCAATTATTACCTTTTTTATAAGCTAAAAGCTGAAGCTTGAAGAAATGCACCACCTTAGTTACCCATTCTTCCGGAAGAGACATATACAGGAGTAATGAAGTGGGCCAAATAAGGATAGACAGAAATATCTATGTTAATCGATATTAAATACTTTAGCGCACGAATGATACTTACGTCTAAAGGATCTAAAAACAAAAAAAGAAATTCAGTTCAATGTCTGTAACAATAAGTGTCTTTATTCTCTGACTCACATCTACCACATAATCCGTGAGAATCCTCTGTAACCAGTTTGATCTACTCCTGAGTTTCGTGTCTTCTATATCTATGGGATCGTTACCCCAAGTTTACATTGACGTGTGTCAACAATGTTAGTACTAGATAAGATTCGTATCGTCACTCCCCATTATTAAAACGTTCACACAGATCTCATGATTTTTATATGTATTTACCTAGTATTAGTATATTACATACTACGGCCTCGATAATGTAGTGGTTTAGCTCACCGCCTCACTTTCGATTTTCGCAGGTTCGATACTGCGCATGGTACAAACACTTGCATTCATAAGTATGATTGCAAGTGTATTGGTTTTCTATGTATAATATGTTTACGTATTTACATAAAAATGTATTTATAACAGTTGTCTAGTACCCATAACACAAGCTTTGCTTAGCTTGGTCTAGATAGCGCTATTTGAATTGTCCTGGATGGTTATTATTAGTATTATTTCTTCCTTACAGTAAAGGCGATATTTACATGGAAAACTTTAATTAAAATATGTGAAACGATTTCTTCACGGTCAGTAAAATGAACGTGGTATACATAGTGTTGTCGGGTTTACAATTTATTATCTACTAGCCGACTCCGAAATTTCGTATCCGTACGTCGTGGTATTTCAAATACCTATACTTTATTTATAACTTTTTAGTTTGTAAATCGACTGGAATAAAACAAACATTATTACATTTTATGTGAATACTTATCATAATATACCAATAAAAACCACAGCAAAATCCATTCAGAAATGACTGCACTCTAACACAGAGACAAAAATTTAGAAGTAAGTACCTGGATAAAAGTTTTTTTTTCAAATATTTCTATGTATCCACAGTCCACAGTGATCGTTTATATTTATATTGCATATAAGACTAGCTGCCGAATGTAGCTTGGTCAGCGTCACATTTTGCCCGTTTTTATAACATTTGTCATTGCATCTCCGCTCGTGGAGTAGATATACGTACATATCTATTACCTTCCACGGTAAGTGGGCTATCCAACACAATAAAATAGGATCAGCAGTACCGGAGATTATGCCGAACATCCTAAGTTTAAAACTTTACCTGTTTATTATATTAGTAGTACCCAATAAGTAAGAATTCATTGCAAAAATACTTCAGCTAATGACCATTACATTAGTTTGGATTGGACGATCTTGTTAGTCGTTTGGTTGTTATTATAATAAACAAAACATGGCGCAGGTAATCCTACACGTTTACAAATGATACGTGGTCATTCCGTGCCGCAATTAACAAACATATCGGATGACTAAAACGAATACCTTCAATAATAATATACTTGGACGATTCATTGGACTGTATGGGTAACTAAACGATGAAAACACGTAGATAGTATGTTATAGTAAAATATGCAGCTGCAACCCACGATGAGACAATGAATTTTCTATCAAAAAAAGATGGCATAAAAGGAACTGTTTTACAATTATAAAATTAAAAATTAAGAATACAAAAGGAGTTTTCGGCGGTCGGCCGCCAAGAATATGATGGATATTTTTAGCTGTTGAATATTAATGAAATATGTAACTATATACAATATACATTTTTAATACCACTGCGAACAGCTGCCAATCTGTCAAAATTGATTTTAAACATATTTGATAATCAGTGAAATAATAGTATTAAAATTTTCAGATGGTTAAATAGTGAGCAATTGTTAGTAAATATAATTTTATATATTATCTGTAAGCTTGGAACTTTGTTAAAAGTAAGGACAGTATACCTACAGAGTGGAGATAAACTTACTTAATGTGTTATTAACTAGGTAGGTACTAGGAAGAAAATTAACTCGATTTTTTTAATAATAGACATTTTATTAGGAACTCCACCAAATAATTATTATAGTTAATATAATGTCTACTCAAATTAAGAAATCTCAGAAATAAAAGCAAATAAATAATAACTGTATACAATGTTATAAGTTTACTATTTAAACTATACATTTACTATTTATATTTCTTTACATTCTTTCATAGTCGGACCACTCTACATTTCAGCTTACAACATCTTTATGCAAGTGACGCCGCTGCCTCTATATCTTTAATTCAGCAAATTCCGGCATAACAAAGAACTAGGATATTGAATATCCTGTTTATAGTAAGGGAGCCACTTTTCTGATACATGCATAAAATCAACGCAATTCTATTGTTTAAATGATTACAGGAAATCGTCAATCTTTGTAAGATGACCTTAGGCAGTTGGAACTAAGTACTTAACTACCTACTCTTACCAGCAGTTGATTAAATATGCAGTGAAGGACTAGATATATCATTGGATAAAGTCGAAACAACTGATCTAATATAGAGAAACATATATCATCATTGTTAAAATATTCAGAAAATTATCTTATTCTATTTATATTTGTGTACCTGCAATAATTTTAATCAGATTTACAATAACGATAAATGGACTTGTGCATGTATAAAACTATCCTGCTTTTTAGCACACGGTAAGTAATTTAAGTACTTACTTATAAATATTTCTAATGTCGTTTCTGAATAAATAATTTTATCGTTGTTGTAATAACCATAGGTCTCTTTCTCTTTCAATAATTTTGAGGCACACCAACATCCTTGCACCCTACAACGTATTTGAAGATGTCATCACTCCATCTCCATCATTATACATATCGATACTTTACTTCAGGAATAGGAATGAGTGTGTTTGGTGGACATTAAACATAAGAGATGTTGTAAGTTAGTTGTTACTGGCACACTATATTGATTTTTTTTAGAAAAATAAAAAGTTTTTCAATTACTTTTTTTATTAACTTGGCGCCAAAAATTTTAAGAATTAAATATTGAAAATGGAAAACGTCTTGTTGTTTTATCTAGGCGGCCTTTCATCAACGTAAAAGTTAAATCAAGAGCATATAATATATACAAGTCGGTATTTGGAACATCTTCAATGAAAAATAAGTCAAGATGTACTTACATCTTAACTATTGTAAGTTAGGTAGGTCGATAATAGTTTATCTCTTTTCGTTTGTCTATTTTTTTTGTCCCACCACTATAAAAATAATTGTTCGCTACTTCGCTGCCACACACCACTATAACATCGTTAACTACTTAATACCAAAACAGACAATAACTATACCTATCTCAACCGAAGTACGTTGCAATATAGGTTAAAATAAGAAAAAAGCTAGGCATACAATTTAGCTTTTAAATTTACGCTCGCTCGAAGCCAAGTCCACCACAAATGAATTGATGCAATTCACTGATGTAGGTAGGTGGGTACCTATTTGGTAGTATTTATGTATGTATTTACCTATAGACATATTGTCTACATTTGAAAAATGGCATATATTTATATGTTACTAGGACAAAGATAAAATAATGCAGGTTCAACATATTTCGATCAATGGGGTCTTACATGATATTTCAATCTATTCCTATAGTATGGATTCATACTAATTTTAATTAAATTGAAAATGAAATTGTACGACGGATAATAGCTATCTATTGTATAAAAAGAGACTAAGTCGTGAAAAACTGGCAATAATCTACAAGCAATTTATCATCAATTGACTTTCCACTTAATAGCCATATGCCTAATAGCGTTTATCGTTTGCTCACTAAATATTGACACACGCATGAAGGAACAATTGCCGTAACCACCTAAGTGAATAGATACTTTAATGTCACATGTCAAATATAGAGGTGGGGGGATAGATAGCCACTTTACGTAAACAATTTAAGTATAATTTATTAGTACTAATATTATAGTGGTATGTACCTATATTTAAAAAACTGAGTAGTCGAAAGTGCTAATATTTTAGTTTATTTATATAAAGAATATTTGTAGTTTATGTCAAAAACAACAGAATTTGCGGAGAATAGCTAGTTTTATTTGTTTTGAGCATCATACAATTGACACTTATCCAGTTATAAATGAATATTATTTTCTGCAATATCTTCAGCCGGTGTAGAAATTTGTACTAATGTTGATAATTACTTTCATAATCTAGTGTTTACTTGTAACCACATCACAACTTTACATCTCATCTTTTGTCTTTTTTTTAAACATAATCTTATTTGAATCTAATCATGTTATGATAAGCTTCTAATTAAGTAGATAAGGAAGCTACCCCTCGATTTACCTATTTGCGATACTGTAACTTAGGATTACAACATTCACGATACATTTAGAACTTTATGATAAGAAGCTGTAACATGCACAAATTACTAAAAATAATCCAGGTGACCTTTATCGAAAAAGGTAGGAAACTGCTAAGTAAAATCTCTATTATTATAGTCAATGAAATCAACGTATACTACAGTATACGTACAACCTCCCATTCAGTATTTACACATACATAGATACTGTACTATCTAATAGAGCGCTCTTCAAGGGATATCAGCGGTAAAATTAAATACGTACCTATGAAGGACGAATAACGTGAAACAATAGTCAATGCCATTGTCATGCAAAATGATCTGAAGCGAGAAATGAGTAAATTTGCTTATGAATGTGGTGTGGAAGTTATATTACACACTTCACTCACCTTTGTAAAGAAATCCGGTGCGCGCGCAGCTAATACACCGAAATCCCACAGGTGAACGTTATCCTTGATTTAAAAATCCACAAAAGTTTGTGACGAACCGACAGAACGGACGACGTTGCTCTCCGAGGGCACTCGTGCGATTCTTATTAACAACGCACCACGACACCAGGTAACTGGTAACCACACGGTTGAATGTTTGTTTATAAAATTATAAGCAACTTATTAATAATTCCGATGACCCGCACTGCGCATGCCCGTGCAACACGCGCCCCGTTTGAATAAGGTTATGTTTTAAGTTGTAAGCACCACCAACTTCACACTACCGGCACACTCACTAAACACAAGTTTCCAATATAAATCCTATTAGAAGAAATCCGGCGCAACTTTTCCGACAACGGCCACAATACACCGATCACGGTATGAACTTTTCAACTTGTTCTCACGAGAATTCCTTGTTATTACCACTGTGAAAACCACACTAGCTCACCTTTTTGATGATCTGCCGACTCTATCTGAGGCAAATGAAGGCCGTGTATGTATAATAAACACTTGAAAACTCCGGAACCGGTAATAATATGATTCCGCACGTGAACTGTCAAAATAATTTTTTTGTAAACACAGCAACACCCGGAACTCACTCACTGACGACGACACATTTCATGTTTATAGCGCCGTGAGGTCCGAGCGACAAATTAAACGAATAGAAAAGAAAATAAACGAAGAATACTAAGGTCGTCGACTGCAAAGCCGAGCGTCCGACACTCGCTGAGCGCTGTACTAAACGCGAGAGGCCGCGCGACCCGCCGCGCCCCGCGGTCCTCTCTCGCCCCGCCCGCGTCCTGCGACCCGCGCCTATAGAATGTATGAAAAACGTAATGTACGAAAAAATCTGAAGAGTGCATGCATGTATAGAAAGAGCAGAAATGGCCATTAACACTTGGAGGACGGCGAAGTGAAGTGGCTCAGCATCTTGTTTGTTTGGGTAGGTAGTTAGTTTTTGCGTGAGTTGTCGGCTGCGGTAGCGGCGGCGGCGGCGAGGGAGACGGGGGCCACGCTGGAGGCATGACATTCAATTAATCCGACAACACGTGCGTGATGCACCCTTCGGTATATCAGAGCTATCATTGGATTCATTGAGCGATAGAGTAAACTTTAGTCAATAATACACACACTCAATATCTAGTTACTAATTTTCTCTATTGAAATAAATTATCATTTGGAATATAAACAAATATCCAAGAGAAAGTAGGCATACGAATACATTTCAGTGACATAATTACTATTAATTTCAATGCGATACCTATAGATCAAATGAAAAACATTAAAACAGGAATGATTTAGTAAAGCTTTAGTAAGACAAGTATATAAATGTAAAAAATATAACCATATGTCTTATACTACTGCAGTTATGCGATACATTTTAAATATAGGTTTTTAATTTAAATGCTAATAAATGAATCTACATTTATTTAGAATATTCTTGTAATGATAATAGACCATTTAAGTTGAAATTTGTAAAACATTACAAATAGAAATTAATTCGATTCTAAAACAAAGAAAATATTGTTCATTATTTACGTCCTACTTACTAGAGCATAATTATGATTTACTTATTACAGATCGAAAAAGTATAACAGCTTCTGAATTTCATGAATCCAATCCGGTAAATTAAGGATTTATTCAAACGATTGTCTTTTTCAGATTTGGGTATAGGAAAGCAAAAATATGAGCAAGACAGAAAGAGAGAAAATTGCTCTCTTATAATGTTCAACTGAATTTATTTGTGAGTTAACGACTTACAAGCTGCAAGCACTAGTGGAAGGCTCGATGGATCATGAGTGTGGTGTCTCCTATTACGAATAATAATACCTAGTAAGCCGACGTTCTATGCAAGCAATACGGTAAGATGCTCCCGTGAGTATAGATAGAGTAACAAGGCGGGAAGAGCACATACCAGTACGCGCTCGCCAGTTTCCCGATACAAATACACGTTTGTAAGATTGCTGATGCACGAAATTAACGAAGACAACACTATGTACGTTCCTTCTTGTGTTTCCTCTAGTATAGTTACTTTCTTTCTTACTGATGTCCTTGGTGCATCTCGCATTACAAACATTAAAAGGTTATAGTACTATAGATGCAGGTTATTTAATGCGTTACAATAGTATAGCGTTGCACACATCGAGATACTACCTTTTAAATTTCGACAACGAGCAACTAATGTCTCTGCTTTATCCAATGTTACAAGTATGGGCTGTTCTGACACTTACCAGACTTACCTTTTTTTGGACTACTCTAATGCTGTTGGCCGCAGCTATCCTTCACGCCTTCACCGGACGATAGGGGCCGAGTTCAGATGTCACTCAAAACCCGCGGAAGGACTTATTATTAACTTCTGCCTGACGGATACGACTTTAGTCTGAGGGCACCGCTAGAGGTTCGAACCTCGGCTTAGGCCATCGTAATTTCGATCCCCATTTTAATTGGACGGATCCTTCGATCGATTCGCCTGATAAGTCTTTTTAAAATCACGTCAGACTTTTTTAAATCGTTACAAATATGCCTAATAATAATAAATTTTATAAAAGATTGTGTGGCCCTACAGCTCCTCTACACCTCTACATGACGTACTACGTCATGTAGATCTCCACACAATTTCTCTTGAAAACTATCATGGTTATATCCGATAATTGAAATAACTTAAATCCCATATTCTTCCACTAGTGCCCATACTACGTATGCCGCTGGCGTATACTGGAGCATCATTTCATAAACATTCATATAAGAAACCATCATGTAGCAGGTATCATAAATTTTAATGAGAGCATACCACTGTAGGTATTTACGTTTTCCATCCTATTACCATCACATAATCCCGGCCTTGATCGGGCCGCATTTGACACGTTTTTCGTTATACAAGATTAAAATGGGCTTTGACATACTGTACTATATATAATACAACAAATGTTTGTGGTACAAATGGGTACAGATACGTAGAATGGTGATGGAATTGAAAACATTTTAATGTCCCTCATGCATATTACGAAATGATTCATTATACGTGTGCACATATATCCACAATTAGTATTAGCAAATAAAAATAGTAAAGCATACCTAATTCAATTGCGAAATATTTTTAAAATGCTATTTATATCCTGTCTTTAAACTGAATGATACATTATTTAAAAGAGTAACGCCCAAATTTCTTGCTCAATCTTGATTTGATGAGTCTGCTTTTCGAATGACTGGTATTTAGTGGTGGTAAATGACTGGACAATTTGAAAGTTTATTTAAATAAAAAATATTAACAATAATATTTAGAATAGAATGACTTTTAAATACACTAATTTATGTTGAAATTGTTCTTGTACAAAAAATTCACTGGATAAGGATAGATGCGTCTGATACAGACGTCGCTGTACTTACTAGGAGATTTTAACTCCGTATTCTAGAATCAGAAATACTTTTTTTAAAAGTAACTATTAGTTTATAATATCTGTATTAAATATTTGAGATGAAACGTGCAGTAACCGGCTTTAACATATTACGAACATAAATTGAGTTTCTAACAAATAGTCTATGTTTGGCAATCCATAAAATGCCGAACTTTACAATTTCATTTATTATTGTTTTGCATTATATAGTCATTTCCTCAAAAAGCTGATGATACTGCTAGTCTGATGACTATGACTAATTTACTCAGTTACATTACCAACTGTATATTTAATATTTTGACTCTATATTTAATTATAGTATGAAAACATATTTATTTAAATTAATATGAATATTACAGTCCGTTTATTAATATTAAGTAAACACGTAGTCCGGAATTGTAATCTAATATAAGCTATACGATGTAAGATAGTATGATACAAATTGCAATATATTTCTTATTTTGCGCAGAGTAAATCTACCCATAATCTACCCACGCACTTGCGACATTTTAATTCTTACTCCTTCGCTGGATGAAACTAATTTCTATGATACAGGCTCAGCCTAGTATAGATACTAGTAGTGAATTCTCTGAAATATCGCAGCATGCGTTTAATAAGGATGTAATTATTTATGAGAAGGACTGTAAATATGTAAAATTATTGTCAATAAATTATTATTATTATTCAAATCAAATAAACAAATCCGATATGTGTTAATTAGCTCTTAGACCAATTTATCGACTCCTAGTTCTTATAAATATATATCGTGCTAACCGATCGCAAAGAGCATTAGTAGTGCATTCTATTTTTCCCAAACTTAAGGGAACACTTGTAGAGCTAATAATCTACTATTATGTTAGATAAATAAAAAATATATAATCCAATTCTTGATACAAATTGACTTTTATATATTAGATGTCAAACATTAATAAACAATATTATACAAATGCTTTAATTTGTAAAGATAAAATATTTTTACAGGCCTTTACCTTACCTGTAACTTGTAAATATTAGTTTAGCCAGTTCTCATTCAGATAAACGAAAGTATCTCGATAATGAAGATATATATTTATTTTAACAATGCAACAAATATATTTTATATAAATATGATGTAACTAGATATGTACACTAATTGGCTGTCAACTAAACAACTATCAACATCAGATAACGAACATCATTTCAAAGAACTCTATAAAATATGGCTAAATATGGGAGGCAAAAGAATGTTTTTAGACTTATCTATTTTCAATACAATATCATGGAGGTATATATTTAACTTTTTAACAAGAAATTTTGTGTTTCTGTTTAAAGATGTTTAATTAATTTCTGACACCGCCATGTTCCACGAAGGTATATTCCATTAACTTCTATACATATATACAACACCTTTTTCAGTCGATTTCATACCTCTAAAACCACTGTATTAATCGAAAATACTCGAGCAATGCAAAAAAATTGTGATAGAATTAAGGTTACCAGTACAATATCATAATTACGGTAATGTATTCTCCGTTCTCTTGTTCCGCCATCACCACCCTCATGGGTCCATTAAAGATGTTTTGTTCCTCTTTATTTCTCATTGATCGAGCCATCATTTGTTTCTTTATTTTAAAAAAGCTCCTTATTCGGAGGTCTGTGAACTTATTCACATACCGTCACGACTATAATCCTAGATGGGGTAGCCGGAAGCATTGTTAACTGTTAATGTTGTAGGGAACGCAACACAGAAAATGTCTACACTTCGCTGAGTATATATTTTTATATATCTGTACAATTTATTTATTTTTATAATTTTAATGCACACAGTACAAAAAGTAACAGTACATTTGACGGACTTAACACCACGAGGTGGCGATACAATTCACACAGTTTCTAATCTAGCTGTAAACTAGTCTAAGCTTGTGTTCTCGGATTAATTTTTAATTTGAGTTTCCCTTACCGGAGAGTAAGTCAGTAAAATAAAATGACACAATTTTTTATTGTGCCAACCAGATTTCTACCTACAACCTTGTAGTGTAATCCATGATAATAAACCACCAGTCCAGTATATTCTCGATGAATAAATTTTATACTACACGTACTGTACGTTCTTGCATGTCATCGAAATATTGTTCGCAGATTTATTGTGAAGGTTCTCCATTAAGCCGTTTAGCCTCGTAAATTAATTTACACGTGAGCTTCAAAATATTTTTATTGGAGACAAAATCCATTGATTGATAAACCCAAACGCAAATAATGTTATTAAATTTTGTTAGTTAGTTATTAAATTAAATTATAACGATTAATTCAGAACTGATATTTCACTACAAAAGAGAATATTTCCAGTCAAATGTTG